TTCTGTTACAAGTAAGTTGTTCTATTCACTTATACTTGACTTAATTTATGGATTAATTGGTTTTATTGCATTTTTAACTTTCTTTTATTTATCTCTAGCTGCTGCTTCTTCTGTTATAAGTAAGTCACTTTTACTTAACTTATTACATTGATTGATTGTTTTTATTGCATTTTTAATTTTCTTTTATTTATCTCTAGCTGCTGCTTCTTCTGTTACAAGTAAGTTGTTCTATTCACTTATACTTGACTTAAATTGGATTAATTGGTTTTATTGCATTTTTAACTTTCTTTTATTTATCTCTAGCTGCTTCTTCTGTTATAAGTAAGTCACTTTTACTTAACTTATTACATTGATTGATTGTTTTTATTGCATTTTTAATTTTCTTTTATTTATCTCTAGCTGCTGCTTCTTCTGTTACAAGTAAGTTGTTCTATTCACTTATACTTGACTTAATTTATGGATTAATTGGTTTTATTGCATTTTTAATTTTCTTTTATTTATCTCTAGCTGCTGCTTCTTCTGTTACAAGTAAGTTGTTATATTCACCTTTACTTGACTTATTACATTGATTGACTGCTTTTATTGTACCTTTTGTTTTTTAATATAGCTACAAATGTGCTTTCCAGTTTAATTAGTTAATGTAATAAGTCAAGTATTAGTGAGTAAAATAAATAAGTTGTTGTGCTCACTTGTACTTAATTTATTACATTATTTGCTTTTATTGTTTTTTTACAGTAGATTTTTTGTAAATATTACCTTGGTACATAGTTGTATTTATATATAATTTTTTTTTCAGGCTCGAAGTCATGGGAAGAATTCAGAAAGTATCGCTCCCAGCATCCAGGCCCTCTATCTATGAGGGCCTTCCATCGCTGGTGTTTGTATGGGGACGACCATCCCTCCTTTAGATGGAGGGATGGCACCCCATACAACACGGGGAATAGAGCGGATGCTGGGAGGAGAAGACAACGTGGCGCAAAAGTTGTCAATAATTTTTTTACATATTAAAATGTAAAGAAATTGACAACTTTTGAGCCACTTCATTTTTTTTTTTGTAATATATTTTTGTAAATTTATTTTTGTGTTGTTTTTTATTTTTCCCATGAATGTTAAATGTTATCAAAGTAAATCATTTAAATAAAGACACCTTTATCAACAATGCTCATTAACTAGAAATAAAAGTCACGGTCATACATTTGATAAAGTTAATGTTAATCTCAAAGGGATTTGGTTTTCACACAATCAAATTCTATCTAGCACCTTCCAGAACTAAGAATATAAGTGTGTGGTGTCAGTAGTTTAAAATATGTATAATAAACTCAGAATAACTCAATAACCCTCAACAAAACTATGAACTAATTTTTAAATTCAAGTTGAGCTTTTTTATTTATTAATACCTCCCCTCCCAATAACTCTAATTTTCCTTAAAAAACTAATTTTTTTGTCCTTTGGAGGTGGTTCTGCTATTTAATTAATTGTTGTGATGTTTTATGCAAATAGATTTAGCTCACATTCATGTTGGTCTGTCAGGGTTATGTAAAAATAAAAAAAGTAAGTTTCTTATTCGCATTTTTGAGTTTTCAAAAGTATTGATTGCATGACATGTTAATTTGTAATTAATGTGTATGATTATGATTATGTGTTTAAATAACTTTGTTCCATTTTTAGTTCCGTTTCTTATAGCTGACTTGATTATGGCTTACCTAAAGCTTAATATTTATGAAACAATGATTCAATTTAAATTGTATTATAAGTAGCTCTGTTAAATAATTTTTTTTTTTGTAATTTGTACTAAAGGTTATATTTTTATTTTATATCAAGAAAAATATGTTTTTAAGTAAATATCTATATTTTTTTATTTTGGGATTTATTGGTTTAAATGGATATAAAAATCATTTTTGCTTTGTCTTTCATATTTCCTTTTATTATATATGAATAGGAACCATTTATGCTTTAATCACCATTAGCACTCGAAGTTTCCATTTGCATTAAGTATCGATTTTTGGCACACACAACAGGTTTAATAACTTAGGCAGTAAAAACAGCTTGAATGATTTGTTAAGAGTCTTTAAAGAAACGCTTTTACGAAAAGCATTAAATAGATAAAGCTAACTTATTTAAAATAATAAGTCTTTAACCCGTTTTTCTATATCCAAATTTACTTTTTAAATAAATGTTGATGAAAGGGTAAAATATCGTTATAGCCTACGTTAATTTTAAATTCTTTTTAAATTAAAGGAAAGAGTTTTGATACTTATTTAAATAGGGTTAATAAAATATTTTAAATTATATTATATATATTATATTTAAGAAATTATTAAACTAAATTAAATAAGATTTTTAGATGAAACAGTAAAAATAATTGTTTAAAATACGTGCGTGCAAATAATTCCTACAAATACTAAACGTAAAATAACGCTTACAAACACCAAAAGTATGTTTGCAGTGAATAAAGTTAAGTTCAAAGATAAATAGGAAGAAATGTTTAAAACTGTTTCAATGATAACATTTATTTTTAATTACTTTTGTTGTAAGTTGGGATGAAAAAAAAAGTCACTGGAGTATAAACTCCCGGGGTAAGATGACTATAAATGTCTAAGTGTTGCGCGTCTACCAATTAGCCCATAAACGTATTTTCTATTTAAATTTAAGATTATTTATGACGCATAAGAAGTGTAATTAAAAATTCAAAACCAAGTTTGCAACAACTGAGTTTAAATAAAATCTAATTAGATGTGTATATGTTATGAACGTTAACTAAGGCGTACTTTAACGGCGTCACGTGTTGAATGTTTTAGCATTTTTCTAAGTTCGTAGTCTTTTTTACGTTTTTTCTTATTAAAATTTTTATAATCGGCATAATATTAAAATGTTTTTGTCATATCAAAAAGTAAGTATAGTTTTTTATATGTACATTTTTAAACGGTTTTAAAAAAATATTGAGGTAAGGAATAAGTATAGAAAAGGTCGGTGTAGAATAGATTTACTAAGACCCTTAGTTTACGTCCGGATAGCTATAGATAAGTATAAAAATGGTCGGTTCGGTAAAGACCCGTATTTTACGGGTCACCCCAGCTAGTTTAATTTATTTACCTAGAAAAAATACACAATGTACATGCTGTCAAAGTGAGATTAATTACTATTAATTTCATTTTTCTATTATATTATATTATATTATTTTTCTCAAATAAATATTTATAATTTTTATAAACTTTTTTATTGATACTAAAAACAAACCCATGATGCAATATTTTATTGCAGCTAAAAAAAAATGAAGATTGTCTTTAAAATTTCCATTTTGTTGTTAATTGTTTGGAGATATTGCCATTTAATGTATAGCCATCAGGCTTGGTTGGGAGCGATCGCTCTCGATTGCTGACCACGTAAATAATATTTATTTGCAAAAAGCTGGCCAGATTTTTTAGTTGTTTTGAAAACATTTTAAAAAGCAAAAAAAAAGCGCAAAAGATTAATTGGACCGATGAGAAACAATTACAAAGTTCGCAAGTTTTAGTTTTATTTAAGCTAAATTATTTAAAAAAATTGAAAAGTTAATTTTTTCAATACCTATTTTATGTTTCGCGTAGTTTGAAAAGTTTAACATATTTGAAGCAACTCTTCTTAGTAAGATAAACAAATGAAATAATTAAATCATTGAATTACTATAGAAAATAAAAACAAGATAGAAATCAACTAAAAAGGTTAAAAATACTTTATGACAAGGAAGCGAAACTGCTTCACAATATCGCTGATGATGTTTAGTGAGTGGGCTTTTTAATTTTAATTAGTATTTAAAGCACAAAAAAGAAACGAGTTTCAAGGATGGCAACTTAAGCGAAAATAATTAGAGTTGGTAAACCAATATATAGAAACTTTACTTTATATCTAATTATTTGCTATATATATATATTTGTGTTCTGTCATGACCTCAGGCGCGGTGCTTGTTCATCCGCCAGTTACATTGTATGCGTTGTTTGTTTAGTAACCAGAAACTTCTTATATGTTTGTTACATAATTAGTTTTATTAACTATAACGATTATAACTTCATTGAAAACAAAATTATTTTTGTAAGTCTTTGTTTAAATCATAAAAATTGCTTTAAAAGATACATTACGATAAAAAACAGATACACAAAATTACATTTACATAAAGAATACATACTTTTTAAATAAAAAATAAGAATATACTAATAAAATCTATAATTTATAATAAACTTTTGAAATTTTGACAATTTAATACATATTTAAAATATTTATTTTTGTAAACAAATAATATATATTTTCAAAACAAAACTAGAAATCTCAAAAGTAACATATCGTGAATATGACAATTTCTAAAACATTTCAACAGAATACTCTAGAACTTTATTTCGCTAAGTCAGCGTATTTTTTGAACTAATAGAACTAGTTTCTTTGTTAATTTGGCAGGTTTTTAGTGTTCGCAAATATTCTTTTTATTCCTTCGCAAAGATGTTTTGAGAACATTCAAGTTTATTATGTTTCCATGTATGTCCGTAAAACAAAAATTTTTTGTTTCGTACATAAACTTAAATGTTCTCAAAACAACTAAAAAACCTGGCCAGTTTTTCGCAAATAAATATAATTTCCGCGGTCAGTATTCGAGAGCGATCGCTCCCGCTTCCCGACTAAGCCTGAGTCATGTGTATTGTTATGCATTTATGACTATTATTAAAACATATTTATGTGCATTGTTATGTATTTATGTGTATTTTTATGTGTTTATTTGTGTATTTATTTATATAAAATGTATATTGCTTGTATATAATGTTTATACTTAAGTCTATGTTGTTGTGATTTGGATTATTAGTCATTTCTGTGACATTTTTTAGCGTTCAAGAAATTCAGAACAGTTGTAAAAATAGTATAAATCAAACATTTTTTTCTTTTAAAGGAATAAATGTATGCTTTTTTGTTCCCTTTAAATCCCTTTAAAATTTAAAAAAAAAAGATTTGAAAAAATGTATATAAAAAAAAGATACCAGTGAAGAAATAAACTTTTTAAGAACATCCATTTCGCTAATAGCATTTTGATATTTCCTAAAAATAGATTTTTTCAAATTAAAGGTATTAAACTATAAACCTTGATAATAACATTGATAAAAAGTGCTGAAAAAAAGTTAAAAAATAACAGAATGTTAATCATTTTTTAATAGTCATCTGTTAAACTTGACTAAAACCTTTCACTATTAAATATAAACAACAACTTCACTTTTAACCTTTCTACTTCTTTAACTTGACTGATAGTTGCAGATAATTGCGATAACTAAAACATCAACAACTAAAATAACTCAAAAGCTAAAAATTGAGGGAGAGAGATGGAGAGAGATAAATGCCAAAAACATTTAAACGATAATATTTATAAATTAATGAGAGAAATAATTTTTTAATTTCAAACCTGATTGCTTCGATAAGCTGCCAATCTTCGAGAATGACCCTTTTGGAATTCAAACACCTAAAAAAATTTATAAATAACAATTTTTATTATAATACTTATAAAGTAAAAAATTCATATTGCTTTTGCGGATTTCAAAAAAAAAATGCTACTACATTTGAAAAAATTTTAAAATATGAAATGAAAATGAAACTAAATTTGAAAATATAAAACAAAAAAATTGATTTTTTAAATCTTTTATATTTCAATGCATGTTGTTTTTTTTTACCTGCTGAGCTTGTTGTATTTGATTAATTGCATTCTTGCATATATCTTTAACATCAGTAAAATAAATCTGTACATCTGGTTTCATCTATAAACATATGCAAAAGAAATTTTTATAAATAATTATTAACTTAAAAGTAATGTCGCTATGGGTGAAGGTTAATTTATTTATTATCTAAATAACAAAATAAAATACTTTACATTTTCTAATACTACATAAATTATTTAAACTATTTTTAAATTTATATTCTTTATACTTATTATATATAACTTATATAAACTTATAAAGTATATGCACACACACATACATATGCACACACATTTTTATTTTTTGTGATTATAAAAGTGCTCCCAGAAGTCTTAACAGTCTTTTCACAGAGCACCACTAGAAGTCCTAACAGTCTTTTCACAGAGCACCACAAGAATAGTCTTTTCACAGAGCACCACAAGAACAGTGTTTTCACAGAGCACGACAAGAACAGTCTTTTCACAGAGCACCACAAGAACAGTCTTTTCACAGAGCACCACAAGAACAGTCTTTTCACAGAGCACCACAAGAACAGTCTTTTCACAGAGCACCACAAGAACAGTCTTTTCACAGAGCACCACTAGAAGAGCATTTAACTAGGAAGTTCGTGCTTACCAATGTTGCTTATTGGGCTAGAGCTGGCATCAAACCCTGGACCTTTTGGTTATGAGCCAGAACTATAACCACTAATCCATGGCACTTATTCCCATACTTGGATTAAAGTTGACCCATTTAACAAATTTATATTAATCACTTTATTTATTGATATCCAAATAAAAAAAGGTATTAACTGTAAAAATATCCTTTATACATAGACACTTTCTTCCCAAACCCAACCCCTACCAATGCATGTACTGAAGACTATGACATGGTTCAACCTAAACACTAGTTTCAAACATTGAGACTCTCAATTATTTCTTTATTACTCTAGATAATAGAACTCCTTACTGGAGGTATGCAGAATTATATAATGTGGTAAAAATAGCAATGTTTTTTTTTTGGCTTTTTTTCATGATACTAATTTTTCTTGGACTATTTTAAACTTTCATATATCATTACAATAATATTATATTTAATATTATAATTTTTAAAATAAGTAATCATTTATAAATTTTGTGATATTGGATATTAGAGATATTGGAGTTTCCAAAACACCTTGTGGTTATTTGTAATAAAAATTTAAAATTAAGTATTAATAGTCTGTATTTATTAATGATTGACAATATTAATTTACCACTTAGAAATATTTATGTTGCAACTCCAGCTGACGGATTCAAGGTAAAAAAAGTTATATTTAAATTGAATGACTTGCAATAATAAATTAAATTTGTATAGATCAAAAGTATGTTTAGCACAAATCAGCACTTTTTAGCATGCAGGTGTACAAATGGAAGACATACATGTATTGTCTTGGCTGCTGCGTCATATAAGATTTATACATTTTATAAAAAAAAACAAGATAATTGCTATCTTATTAACAACAGACAGTGGTTCAAAATTTATAAAAGCTTATAAACCAATCAAAACCATTTTCAAACCGTTTCAAAAAAAATCAGAGAATGAGGAAGATGATAGTGAAAATAACAACAATAGAAAGTGTGACCATGAAGAATTTCAACTCATATGATGAGAATACAAATTATTCAACTCATATGATGAGAATACAAATTATTCAACTCATATGATGAGAATACAAATTTGTATCAAATTTTGGATATAAATAGTCACGAGGAAAAAGTGAATGACTTATTTTCAGTTTTTTATCTTTATAGAGTTACAGCACCTTTTTTTAAAAGAAAATGTGAATGAAAGTGTATACAAATATCTAACTTATGTAAACTTCAAATTATGTAATGTTAACACCAAGTTTTAGAGTTTTACTTTGATTTGAAAATTCCATTGCAGCAACATCTCCTTAATTTTAATTAAAACAATTTATTTTTTACATTTATTCAAACTTAAATAAACTTAAAGATTTTTTTATAAAATCTTTTGTTTATTAAATAGCGTTAAAACATTTTTTTAATAATACACCTTAGTGGCTAAAGTGGCAGGGTTTCTGAAGTGCATCACTGCGGTTCAAATCCATATGCTTGCGCACTTTTTTTAAAATATTTTTCGATTTTTTAAAATACCAAATGAAAACATTTTTGAAGTTCTTTAGATATTATATACACATATTATATACTATAATAAACACATATTATATACTATATTATATAAAGATATTATATACTATAATAAACGAAAGGAAAAGAATTAGTAAAAAAAACTTAAAATTTCTATAAACATCAAAACACTAGGAGAAATTTGTTGTGCATAGGTCATGAAGGAAATAATTATGTTATAAATTAGCTCAGGTAATTATTCTTAATAAGTTACAGATGGTTTGAAATAAAATTATGGTCTGAAACTTAATAGAGAAGTTTAATAAGCCCATCCTGCTACTTCGGAAGGTCCTGCTGTAGATGCAAAAAATTAAGAAAAGTTTTAATTGTTTTAAACTAAATTAACTAATTTTTAAATTAAAGTTAAAAGTTTTAGCTAGAAAAAGCTTTTAACTTTAATTTTAACAATTAATTTTTGTTATAAATATATACAGCCAGATTGAAAAAAAATGAAAATGTATTTGTTAAGGGCAGATTTGAACCCTTGCAAAACACCAACAACAACAGCGTATTATACCATTTAAACTATTGAAGTTATGGTTAAGTTATAAAAACCATTTTATAAATCTTTTATACTGATTGCAATTTTAATAATTACATGTTATTTTCTAATAATTACATGTTATTTTCTAATAATTACATGTTATTTTTGCTTAAACTGTTTTGTTTTGAATTTTTGCATTTATGTTATTGTATTTAAAAAGATTGACAGGATTGAAAAAACACAAAAAAACTCATCCAAGTGGAAAACCGGCAAATCTAAAGACAAACCTAAAGGCAAATCTAAAGGCAAATCTAAAAGCAAATCTAAAGGCAAATCTAAAGGCAAATCTAAAGGCAAATCTAAAATTAAAGTAAAACTTCAATTTTAGATTTGCCAGGACTTTCCTCTCCTTTGATAATTTCTGTTTGCTAAAATTATATCATCTTCTTAGTTCCACCATTTGTATAGCACTACGTACAAATGTCTGTAAGTATACACGTCTTTAGTATAAGTTGAGTTTGCAGGCAGTATATGGAACAATCGCATATAATAAATGTATAATATAAGAAAACTTCAAAATTTTATTTTAAAGTTTTCTTATATTTATTTTAAGACTTTTTTTGCTATATTTATACTTTTGCTATAAATATATACAGAAAAATTTCAAAATAAAAAATTCAAAATTTATTATGCTAATGGGAGTAGTGTATTTTATTAATGGGAGTACTGTAAATTATTTTATGGGAGTACTGTAAATTATTTTAATAGGAGACTTTAATGTGAGTACTGAATACTATTGTTACGCTAATGGGAGCACTGTAACACATTGAAACAACATTGATAACAGTGCCCTAAACTAATGAGCTATTAACGATTTAGTGTTTAGGAGAAAAATAAACTATTTTATAAATCTCTTATAAGCTTTACATACGTGGAAAAGATGCAAATGTTAATTTTTTTTGCTCTTCAAGCAATTTTTTAGAATGAATTATTTTACTAAAAAATATTGAAATAAATAAGGAATAAGTATAGAAATGATTGGTTTGGTAAAGACCCGTTTTTTATGGGTTCCAACAGCTAGGTGTAATAATATATAATAATTATATATAGGAAAAAAGTATAGAAAAGGTCTATGTGGAATACACTTGCAAGGACCCAAATTTTTACAGGTCCAATCAGCTAGTTTGACTATATTGTTCAGTTACCACAAAATTTTAAATGTGGTAACTTGCAAGTCATACACTAGCAGCGATGTGGAGTCTCAAAAAGGACTCCAGATTTGAAAGTCACAAAAAAATTACTTCTTCCTAATTTTTGGTATCCAGGAGATCAAAAAATATAAATAAGCTTATAAACTACTAATGGGAAAAAAATTAGGACTTTCAGGTTAGAGGAACAATCAATTTTTAAACCCGGAGCCCTTGGATATAATGGTGGTAAGGACTCCGGGACTCTGAGCTTAAAAACAATAAGTTTCAAGTCATTAAATCTCATTAATTTTTTTCATATAGCAGATCATAAGTCAACCAACAAATTTAGAGCTTCTGGATACCAGAGACCAGGAAAAAATAGAGATATAAAACCGGAGTTCTTTGGGACTCTGCATCTCTGTCCACTAGACTAAATAACAAAAATGATGTTCAGAAAATGGTACAGATACTAATTTTTTTAAATTTTGTAGGAAAGCCATAGACAAGTATCATCATTATGAAGTAAAGAAAATATACCAAATATAGTTGCATAAAAAATTACAAAACAATAGAGGCTTATTGCAATAAATCATACAAAAGAGTATTATCAAATGCCAGCCTCCAAACGCCAAATATAACAGTATAACAGATAGTTTCATATTGTTTGCACGTTCCAGATGGTTACAAATTAAAAGTAAAAATAATATATCAGTGAGAAAGATTCCCAAAACTCTTTTCATCATTGCAATATATAATACAAAAGGGTACTATCAAATACTAACCTCCATTACTTTAAGATTACTAAATCTGCTATTTTCTCTTAGAAGTTATAAAGACTGTTGGAATATCTTTATTAGTTTCATAAAGAAAGGCAAGTCTAACATTTTATCGAATGCTGATGATTATTTTTAAGTAAACTTTTCAAGTAACTTTTTTCAGGTATATACTTTTTAAAGTGTTGTACTTTGCTATATTTTAAATCATATACCTTATTGAGTAAAAAAAAGTTATTACTTATTAGTATTGTTGTACTGTTTATAATCTAATTTTTCTATTTTAATATAGAATAGTGTCGGTTTATAAATTTGTTACCTAATAGTTTTCATTAATGGGTTAAGTGAAGTAATGAAGACCTTGTCTTCCCAAATCAAAATATTAAGTCAATGTATGTACACTTCCTGCATGTTCTATCTATTTAATCAGTTGATGTATGTACAC